TCACTAGTGACTGGCCCTATTCAGGCAGTTAACCTGGGGTTCTAGTGGGAAGCCGTGACCAGTAGGGTACAGCAGGTTGAAGATGAGACAGTAACTCATCTAAGAAGACATTGCGAAATGGTCGCGCTATGTCGTGAATTGGCAGAAGTTAGAATTCAAGGACCATTGGATCGGGTCCCAGTGGCTCAATGGTCTACGAGCTCGCCTTGTAACCAGAAGATCCTGGGTTCGAACCCTGGCGGTGGGTGCGTACTGCTGAAGAGTCCCAAACTAGTCTGACGAAACAGCTGTCCAGTACTCCCAGGTTTTCCAGTGGTTCTCTAACTGATGTCAGCTCATGATGAAATCCTCCATGCAATCAACAGGATTACACAAAATTTCATATGAACAGACTTCTTTAAGAATTGAAACACAAAATCCAGAAAAATCTATCATTATTAATTTAAACTGATATCGAACGAACTCTTACTCACTTGCATTTCAGATTTTAAAGTCTACCAAAATAATCGTAAACCTTGATACCACCGGGTCAGACTAGATGTAGATTTTGCCAGCATATCACAACACGACGACGCCTCTCCAATAATCTGTCTACAATATTCAAAACTTCTTCAAAATAAAACGCGATATACGTAGGTTGATTGGTCACTGGGCAGTGAGTAATCAATATCGTTGAGTCTAATCCCTCCAATCACCTAACATCAATTCAGAACACCATATATATATATATATATATGGAGAGAGAGAGAGAAAGAGAGATTCGTTTGACGAATTTATATCAGAACCTGTGGATCGCAATACTTTAGAAAGATGAAAGTATGGTAAGCTACGAAATTGACTTATTTTAAGATATAACGATTCTTATTAATGAAAACTTTTCATATCATTCTCTAGATTGTTAAATGCAATGACAATAGTATCACAAAAAACTTATGTCCTAAGCACCAACAACATCATCAGAGACTTAGGGTTCAGCTTAAAACCTAATTATCTAATAAAATCTAGATCGACAGTGCTTCCGCGATAGAATACTCGCCAACCAACCATGTAGGTAGGTGTTCCTGCTTCGATTCTCAGTCTGCGCACACATAAACCTCACCTAGAGTCTATCTAATAGTCGATAGTAACCTAAGAAAAGATAATATGTTGGGCTGATCAGGTACACTAAATGAAGTCATTCCTGGGTAAGTCAAAATGGTTTAACTTAATGTCTTAAACTAGCAATCGTAGTAGAATACATATGCTGTGGCATGTGCTACTGACAAGTCATATCAGTAGTATATAAAGAGATGTTCATCCTCACAAAAATATCCAATAGTGGAGATAGATCTGACGTCAAATATAGGAAATGAACCAGTATTGCGGCAAAACATGGTAGACACGAAAAGAAGACAAGGAAACACAATATACAGGGCAGAAGTAGCACAACGCCGGAGATCTGTGCAAATGACGGTTTTCATAGAAGGTGTGCATGATTTCCATAAATGTGCATATCAAATTAGTAATAGACATTCCGTTAACAAATCTCTTGTCTTCTACCGTTACAAAGGTACTGTTAAAATTCATTAAGCAGCATACCTTATTCAACAGAGAGTTGATGTTAAGAATAACTTTCTAAATATTTAGAATGAATATTATATCCTACTAGAAATCAGCTGGATTCTAGGCTAACTAATTCAAAAGTAATGAAATGAAACTAGAGGGAAGTTGAACAGACAAGAGTAAAAACAGCGATTCATTTTGACGTAGCAAGTTTGTACACTAATAGTCTGATTGATGTAGTCTTCGGAGGGAAGTTAAGAATGAGTTGAACATTGGCCCTGAACTTAGCAAGTCAATTACTGTCTCAGTTGAAGAAGTAATATCAGGTGTCCAGTTATGTCTATCTACTAATGTATTTATCCAACTATATTAACAATGTATTCAAGAATGTATTATAAATCACATAAACTTATCTATTATGGAATTATACATTCAACCACAGTACTAAAATTCTACTCTTATATTACATTATTCTGGTTACCATACACTGTAATGATGGAGTGTTACTGATTTCAGGAGTCGTCTAAACTGGCTAGAATGTGTCTTCAAATCATGACACCATTAACAACTGATCACTTGAAATTATCTCCTCCTACAATGAGATAAATACAAAAAAAACAGACTGGAGAAAACGGTGACTACAACAGCGAAAACTTTTATCAGACAAAGTGTATGGTATGTCATATTTACAAAACCCTTCGGAATTTGAGCCATATAAAAACAAATCTCATTGGCAGTATGATATCGAAATCCCTTAGAAAATTAAGTCACAAATAAAAAGAACAAAACTGCCAAATACTTTTATCATGTCAGCACATGTATGAATCATTACTTCATTGCTAACAAGGAAACATGTCCATCCTAACGAGTCGCAACTGCCTAACGTCTTTTGAAGAGAGCACAGAGACTCTGAAACACAATATTCATTCATAGCTCCGGTTGCCAGAGTTCTGGCTAGTTAGGCCTGTTGTCCAACTAGGCAAACGGTCATGATGTTGAATGCTCCAGTATGAAGTTACCAAAGTGGTTTTAACAGACTACCAGTGGTGTTTTCCTGTCTCTTGTCGCAATTAATCGTAGCACAGTTAAGAAAATGTGGAGAACTTACCTTTGGAGAGCATCAAAATTGGCAGGAAAGCAAATAGATGACGGTGAACGACGATTAGGAAGGCTCTGTGTCTTTATAAAAGTGTGCGGGTTGTTATTCTTCAACAGGTTTCCACTCCATGGTAGTTGACTTAATAATGAAATACCTGGAACAGAAACAGCATCAGTGTCGTGTGACCAGAGTCCAGGGGACGGCCGTCTGTGGGAGGTCACACACGGCATGTTTGAAGTCCACTTCGGTGTTGTGTTTGTATGATCTCACCGCCGGCTACAGTCCGCCCTCCCGGGAGCGGAGGCTCAACATATATGACTTGGAAACACCTTACTGCTATTGCACCTCTATTCAGCTATATAAAGACCTCGCCTTCATACCCACAACATAGTGTGAGTGACTTGCACTATGATGGTAAATGGTCTTAGACTGGTTATCCAGACGATCTTTCTGGTATGGTAGAATTTGTAGGGACATTTGTTGCAACCAGTATAGCTTGGTGGGCAATTGGGATACGCAGGCGCAACTACGACGTTAAGGTAACGGGTGTAGGTCCGGTGGACTACAAACAAATGTTAGCGCAGCCGCTACTATTGATTGAATAGCATATTATGATACATAATGGATACTACAGCGCCCCGAAAGGATAGTTTTTCATAATAAATCAATAAGCATAGTCCGCAGGCCTTAGCAACTGATCTTTACTGAAAAGACTGGACAGAGCTGATCATTATCGACAAAGGTAAAGTAAGCCACTGATGTAAGATTACAATCCCACAACTTTGTCTTCAAACATTCATAACAGTGTAGTAACTAGCAGTAGCTGTTTATATAATAAGCAATATTCAGCTGATCTTACCTTAAGCTGAGGCATCCAGTTGAAAAGTATCCGAAACAAGCACAATATGCACTAGACTATGAATAATACTTAATGCTTGCGCACTCAAAATGTTGCTATGCCATCCATAGTGACGCTGACTGAATTTCAACATAGAACTTTGCAAAGAAATGCAACAGTTCAAATTGTTACATTCCAAATAGCATACAAAGATAGGGAAAACATAGAACCAATTCAAAGGAACTATAATGAGCACAAATGTACGGCATAGTAACACGAGGATTTAATGAACTTGGGAGATAGCGAAGAGTAAATACACTCGCGCCATTGAAAATGATTTCGAGCCATATTACTAACAGTCTCCAGCCATTGGTTCTAAGCACCCCAGGTACCTCAACCAGGTAGTCTGTGTACACCTCACTATGTGACTGAATTAGTCAAGTTATACTGACTGAAGCAAGGATTAACATAAATCTAATGTTGTGTTTTCCCATTTTAAAATATTTGGAATTAAACTTTCTTTGTCGGTGTGCCTTTTCGAGTTTTTCCTGCATGCCTATGATTTATTTGGGAAGACGAAGTGCCATATTTGCTTGAATATTTCAAATCCATCGAACTACTAAAATTGAAAAACTACATTTCCACAAATTACGAAGACCGAAACACGGTGTTATCTAGATTTCATACACAACTCACACACAGACTAACACCGAATATGTACAACAGTTAAATACGCCAAATGTCCAACCCAATCAATCTGTGCTATTCCCACAACCCTAACATGTGCATTATCGCCATCGTGTAAAGATTTACAACTTACGTATGGAAGTTAGAGAAGTAAAGTTTGTTCATTTGATTGGACTATCAACGTAGAACTTGGCACAAAAATGAAGTCACTTGGACGTTGTATACCTCGGTAAAGGAAACATAAACCTACGTAAGTGTGATGAAACGAAAATGGATTAAGATATACGAGACAGAATAATTAGATGAAGAGTGGTGAGGATTCTTATGGTATGGAAAAGCATCACCTTCGAAATAGGTGACCTGGGTTCAGCTTAACTGTTCACTAACATTCGTTTTAACGAAGGTCTAATACATAGAAGACTATAAACACTGGTACCTTTAAAGCCACAGAAAATGGAAATTAAGTAAACAACATTTAAGAGACGAGAGGTCATCCTGCCAATAATAAGCTGCCTTGTCGAGTTTTCCAGTGGAGCAGTCAAGCATGCATAAACATTGAAACACCTCGTTTTACAGGTGAACATTAAATCCAAGTAAGGAAAAGGTATAAAATCCTAGGAAAATAGCATAAGGAGATATCATCAATACAGTCTAATGTAACTGCGTACGTTAACATGCTTCATATTCATATCAGACACGGTAACATGATGGAAAAAGGAACAATGGAATCAGATGCCACATAACAGCTTCATGTGAAGTTAAAGTTAAGCGAAAATAGAAATATGGATTGATATACGGAATCCTTAGAAAGTATGAATGCATCTGTCCCAATTAGATGGATTCTACTTGTTATCCAGTCGACACAACTTCCAGGTATAAGAAAAAGCTTTGGGTTGGCCATTGTATAGAACATACCAGGGCATAGCCAAAGGGTATGCATTTCAGGTTTACTTTAAAAGAAACCCGAGACTGAGATTTACGACAAGTGACATAAGAATCCTAGTTAAAGGGATATCACAGCCTATGACTTAACGTGCTTATTAAACAAAATCTATTTCTGAACTGCTTACTGTTATGATCAGTGCCTCGAGATAAAGAGTAGTTAGCTACGTAAATACCACAAACCACAGTTATATAGCCGAAAAAATGAAAATGCTAGGCAATGCACTCAGTCCCTCACAAGCAGACAGACATTTAGTCTATACTACAGGTGACGCAACGACACTGCGCAATACTAATCTCTTCCACGACCAATACAAAAAGTAAGAAAACAGATGCGTAGAATGCGAACCACATAACAACCTTCAGGGCAAAAGTAAAATCGACTACGCATGTTTTTGCACCTCACATTAAGTTACATTCTGGAAGTGCACATTTTATGAGGAAAAAATACAAGAAACCCACCAGATGGAGACCGATGTATGGAAATCTGATGTCACCATACGTGACGTCCCGTCATTAACTGGTATAACTGTAACGAAACCTATTTATACATAGCCGTATGTGGTTTGGCATTAAAGCATGAGATTAACAGATGCATAGTAAATAATCTATTTTATGTACAATTTACAGCAAGAGAATTAAAGTAGTATTTTACTGTACAGATTGCTTTGCAGCTTCTTGGGCTTTTACTTTATGCATTCGGTGATATTTCTCAATATACAACTTTACAAATGTGCTGATTTTTTCAGTGTTGATTGAAGAAGTACCACTTCTTGAAATCTACAATCAAATAGAATTAAGAAAGTTTCAAATCTTACCTTGGTAACAGCCTTTTTCATTATTTCTTTGTAATCTTCTTTATTAATCCTGCGTAAATAGTATGCTGGCTTCAGTATAGATTTCACTTCCAGAGCAATGCGTTCCTGCCATTCTCGTCGAGACGCAAAATCATACCGTTTGCGCTTTGCTAGCACCTCTGCCATGCTCATGTCACCGAATGGTTTCTTTTTGTTTGCACCATTTGGTAGCATTTTACCTTCAGAATCACCATCTGGAAAAATAGAATCGACGACTGGGAGCGGTGGGGGAACAAAGGTATGCAGCCGACTGGAAGCACTTATGATCATATCGCCACGGCGTTGAAACGGGAGTGGTGGTGGTGGAGGAGGAGGGGGAGGCGGTGGGGGCGGATCATCAGAAGAGTCATCAACAACTTTCTTGGTTAGGTGACTCAAGAGAGAGCTTGCGGCTGAACTCAACAGCTTATTGATTCGTTTTATTGGAGAGATTTCCTCAACTGAATCACATTTTTCACTCGCCTTGGTATTCGATGATAATTCGCTGAGTGTGTTGGAAGGCAGGCCAGCCCTGCTCATTAGAGTTTCCAAGAGATTGGATGTTGTGGTTGGCATTTGCTGAGTATATGTGGAAGGTGGCGGGGGTGGGGGTGGAGGGGGCGGAGGAGGAGCATTACTTTGGAAGGCTGGAGCTGGAATCACCATGGGTAAATTTGGCACTGACTGCACACACTGACCAGGAAATACAGCATTGTTTACAGGAAGCATAGGAGTATTCACTCTAGGTACCATCATAGGTGGGGGTTGCATGAAGTTCGGATGTATTGGTGTGCCAGCGTAGGGAATAATACCTGATGGGAATGTTGAGTTAGGAATTCCAACTAATCCAAAATTACTTTGAGGAAATCGCATAGGACTAAAGTTCATCTGTGGAACTCTAGGTAAAAACGTGGAATTACCGCCAACCATATTCTGCCAACTATTTACTGTCTGTACAGCTGTTGGGGGCTGATTTTGGAGAAGTACATTAACATTAGGATTCAGTGCTGGATTATCATGGGTCGCATCAGACGGAGAGTTTCTGGTCTCACTTTCTGAGACCGTTTTAGATACATGTGGCTCTTCGACCGTCTTTGGGGGATCCCAAGGGACGACTTCAGGTGACTTGCAGGGATGTTCCTCATGCAGACTAGGATTGTCTTTAGCGTTGCGTGTAGGTATTGGTGCATCAGAAAAACGAGATGCACGTCTTCCATTGACCGGCTTTCTTGACTTAGCTGGAGATCGAGAACGGGAATGTGAACTGGGAACACGGTTTGAGTTATGAGATCGACGTGGTGTTCTTGATCGATCCCGTCTTCGGTCTTTGGAACGTGATCTGGAACGGTGTTTATAAGACCTATGCCTTGAGTGTGACCGAGATCTTCTACTCCTTCTGTCATCATATCTGCTTTCAACTCGCTTACGGGAAGGTGATCGGCTTCTACGGCGATGTATGTCGGAAGACCGTTCATGAGAACTAGATGGCTTTTCGATAACTTGATTGTCATCTTGCTTTCTAGTTTCTATTAGATTATCTTTCTTCTCTAAAGCAGAATCAGTTGCTGTACAATCTTTACCATCTGATTCTGCAACATCATGTTGATCACTCACTGACTGATCAAAAAGATGCACATCTATATTAGGGTCTGCTTGATGACTGCTTGCGTTATCTTGACAAGCAAATGCATCAGAGTTAAAAATTAATGGGACAACATCGCTTAAAGACTGATTGGGAGGCAACTGATTCTGATCGGCGTCCTGTTCTGGAGTAGCAGGAGAATCAGATTCCAAATCCATATCCTGGTCAGTGGGATGGGATGGGCTATACGGATCCATGATGGCTTGAGATTTAAAAATATTTTAAAGCACACAGTTTTGAGTATTCCATGCGAACGTCATACCAACAATCCGTGTAAAATCCGAAGTCAACACAAAATCCAGAAAAATATCATAAAGCGAACGCCTTTCTGACCAGTGGATTAAAACAAACGCCAAACTCAAGGCTAACAGAATAATTATTTTAACGGTTTCTACTGCAGTTTTTAGCAGCGTTACTGTCGACTGTACAAGTAGATAATTCGAATTCTAATCATAGAGTTTTTATTCTCAGAGAAACAATAAATGTTTCCGGCCATGTGTTTGGAAACATCCAGGGAAGTGCATTCGGAAATGTTTCTTCTCCGTGGGGAATATTGGGCTTTATAACCCATGTTACTTTAAATGATACATTTTTGTGGAGATCCAGCCCTTCCCACTCACTGAATAGTATGCTTTCTACTCCTCTAGTTCAAAAATGCAATTGCTGATCACTATTTATTAGAATTTCACATATATTGCCATTTTATGGTGCTTTAGTGTTAATTTCTCCGTCTAAGAAAGTGTGGACTTTTGACAGATTTCGTCACACAGGCAGTTACTGAGGTTACGAAGCCCGAAAATCTGATCAAGCGTAGTCTGCAACATGAGGACTGGAGTATGTCCTGATTTTCGTTTTTGAGGCAATATTGATTTCCCTTCTTAACTCAGCACTATTTTCTGCATTTGAAGTCATGGGGGAGGAATATGCGCATAGCATATTTCAGTAAGATTCTGGTTAGCATCAATCTTATTTAAGTGCACCAACATGATCGACATCCATGAAATGAATAGTTAGTGTTCATTGTGGCTATCATAGTACACCAAAGAATTTTCTTCAATGAAAGCCTTTAAGAAGCAGTCTACCAGAGCTTCAACTTGATCTTCATCATCATAGATCAGTTAATATTCCTCCCTAACACCTGTTAGAGAGGGGATTTTACGTTTTGAATATGCAGCAAATGATTCATATGGGGGCTTTCATAAAGTTTGGTAGAGCTTCATCCCAAAGGAAATTGAAGACTAGTGGAGGGCTCAGGCCCATTCACTTTGGTCTGTAATGCTCGGCATTTCTACTTCCAAAGCAGTAAGCACGATAAAAATTTCATCACCTTTCTTCAAGTAATAAACCTCAAATATAATGGCTTGATTTGGAAGTACGGCATCTCTGACTGTTGATAACAGTCAACGGAATGCAGAATTATGTCATCTGGAAGTTGGAATCTATCACTTAGTCCAATTAAGGTGCTGTAGTGTAAATGACTATCATAACTGTTCCTATTATATGCTTAGTGAATAGAAAATTAACCCAGGAAATTCAATAGTCAAAAAAATGCAAACAGTAAGGGCAAAACCTAAGGCACATTCCCTTTGTGAAGTGCACTGCAGAAACATGAAGTAAACTTGCGTTAGGTCCCGGGTATTTCGACAGTCATCAGTAGACAAGTCTTTTAAGAGCATTTACGAAGCTACGTTTCGATACTTTTTTGCTCAACGTCTTAGCAGTGCGCCCAAAATTCTCTCAGTATTTAACACGTTTAGCGTAAAATGTGGAAATTATTAGGTTAATTTGCACTAATTTCTGCTAGCGGGAATATTAAGTGTAAAGTGGATAACAGGTTAAATGTGAGAATCGCTGCTCACAAAAATTCAGCAGCGTCCTTGTGGTGTGATTGTGTAACTCTAGCCTCTCTTCAAATCATCGTTAATCGATACAACCTCAAGCAGAATTAAGTGTTACATTTCCCTTCACTAGTTGGGGTGGTGTGGTGGCAACTAGGTTACTCAGGACAGACTGAAGACTCAGCAAGTAGTGTGGCTACAGCTCAAATCCTTCAGGACAGATGGCCACACAGCAATCATGAGCGCCATTTTGGTTGGAACCAACTGCGAGCGAGCTTGAAGTCGTTCAAGCAGCCTAACTGACTGGCTGCCTACACCTCTTACCCTTATTCTCTAACATACCAAATAACTGTTGACTTATTTGAAGAAACCAACTTGTAGGACTAGTGAAATTTACTCAGGCAAAGGAGTATTACACTATCTGGGTATAAGTACGGCAGATTAATCTGTCTTTAAGTATTGGTGCAGTTCCTGTTGCTATAGATGCGGATTTATTTTTCTCAAACCAATAATTAACCAGGATTTGTGATTCAGTCATTGTAATTTCACAAAGACTCAGAGCCAGACAACCAGAGGTGAAGTTCAGAAAGCCTCATATACTCTTTACACTATGTCTTTACTTTTCGCTGATTTATTTTCACTTGTTCTTGCGTTTTAAGCATTTATTTACATACATGATTAGTCCCATATGAAGCCTGAATTTAATATCCGCGTCCAAACTGACTCTGTGGTGATTTCAGAAGTCTAGAAAATGTTTCGAAAGGGCGCCTCCACAGCACGTCTCTCACTGTGAAGTATTAGAAAGCGAACGTATCGCCGTTTTTGCTACTCATTGGAGGAGATAACAGCTCATCTAAAGTGGCAGTGCAAAACAGTGAGCACAATAATAATAATAATAACTGGCATGTTTAACATATGTCAGTGTTGGTGAACATCGAATAGGCAAGATATGGCTTCTTTATTTGAACTGACCTCCGTTTTGGTAAAGGCGGTAATATTGGCTGTGGCCTAATTCTGAATCGTTTCGCAGGAGACTGGAGAAAAACGATCGGAAGGATTACGGTGATTTATGCTGATGTTTACTGATGGACGTTGTGATTATATTATTAACAATTTATGTTTCTTATAAACTGGTGCTTACAAGAAATGCATGCCGTTTTTACAGGCACGATCAGTTATGTTATAAATTACAATCCTGAAGTATCATAAATTTATACTTTTTCAAAAGTTTAAATTGTTCAATTATTGTACAAGCAATCAGAACAGGTTCGTAAAATTTTAAATTGCAAACCCTTCAATAAGATCACCATCAATGCTGAGTGCCAATCCGAACTTCATTCCGTTTCCTGCATCTTATTGATCTCTAAGAAAATGTTTCATCTTACCTTCTACATTAAAAAGTTAAGACAATCAGGTATCAACCAACCTTTAGTTCTGCAATTTTTAAACTCCTGTATTTTACCTACTGTACTCTATTGTTCTCCATTAATCTTTCCTGGGCTTCTTAAAAGAGACTATGTCATATTACGAAGGGTATTAAATGCTGTGAGTAGGGCTTGTGGTTTGCCACTACGTGAGCCCGCCAATACTATAGTCGAGAGACAAGTAAATTCCTGCACAAAGTGGGCAAAGGCCGTACTGTCAGACCCTCTGCACCCTCTTTATTCACAACTATCCCCTTGTATCTCATCAGGTAGAACGAGAAGTCATAATATATATTTCCTATCTATGTAGGACACACCAGTTGTACAGGCATGGATAAGTATTATTTAAATTACATGAATTTGATTTATAGTGAAATTACATGGTTGCTGTCCTCTCTGACATCAGTTAGTGAGTACCTTCTGATAGTTAGTCGTTCAATGGAGCACATAAAGAAATATAGAAATATTGTCTTCGCATTAACAAAAAAACCCAAGTATGTGTCGGATAAATTACAAATATTTGGGAAAAAAATAAAGCTTGAAGTCAATTCCTCCATATAACTTTGTTGTGTGCGGCATCGTATCTTGTTCTTGTTTTATGTTCAAATTGGGTATTAATTTAAAATGAGTGATTTATTTTTATGATTTTGACATCATTTTTATTGCAAGTAATACCAGATGTGAATTCAACTGAATGCAGATTAATATTGGTCATTGTCAAGCAGATTTGTTTTACTGCACTCAAGTCACCCATAGCCCGCCATTTGTCACAGCATGGTTGCTCCGTACGAGTAAGTTGATAAACACGTAGAAAGCTATATAAAAACCATTTTAGATCGTTGACAGTGCTTGTATAAGATGCTGTACAGCGTCTTGTTATGGTGACAGTGGATTTCATCAGGGATGCTGAGCCATTACTAGCCAAACCTTGAGGGATAATATATGAGTAAGTGACTTCAATTGTTTCTCAGCTTCAGTCGGAATGTAGATCAATGCAACTTGTACTACAAAGCAAATACAACAGGAATGTACCAGAGGGCAGAGAAAAAGTATGTGGATTGGGACATATATGTTTATATTCGTTGTACATTGTAATTTGATGAACAAATATTTATTTCTACTAAGTCTTTTTATGCATTTATGCTACTAGTTTATTTATAGTCTTTAGAGAAGTAAAGGTATTTAAGCGCGTTTAGGTACCGTAGTAGATTGATAGTTGATTCGTTCTAGGAATAAATAGTTTATTTATATAATCAGTAGAGTGAAATAGTGTGTTACAGAGAGCGTTTGAAACTTATAACCGTATTGCAGTTCCTGACTTCTAGGGGCAGATTGTTCCATATTTTAGAATACATGACTGTGAAGAAGTTTTCGCGGAGTGTTGACTCAAAGGCTTTTATTGTCACTGTGCAAGTTTGGTTACGCAGATCGTAAGAGCCTTCATGTGCAAATTGTATGTCCTTACTGTCTGAGAATGATATTTTGTGTAGGACCTTATAGAAGAATACTAGGTTTATAATTAGTCGTCTTGTCCAGAGTGGGTCAAGTTGTAGAATCATGCACCGTGAGATGTAGTCTTTCTTACATTCGTAGCCAAGTAGTTTTGGGGTAAAATATCGTTGGATACTTTCTATTCTTAGCTTTTCAATATAAGAAATTATATGCTCGTACCACTAAGTATAAAAATTCTACAATACCGTATTTAGCCCGTATTTTATGTGATGAAGACTCTGTTAGACGTGAAACATATAAGTTAGTATGTAATTAGCATAGTGAATCGACCCTTTCATTGTTCATCTTTCCGTAATTTTATGGTGTCACCATTTCTATCGTTTAATTATAACTTTGCTATTTTTATTTTAGTTGTCATTACTATTATTACTATAATCTTATGCTTTATGCGTATTTTTCTCCTTATCGTATACTGTAATTGCTACATAGCTGCTATAAAAACTTTTTGTTATCATTATTATGTAATGATTGTTTCGTTTATTTTTTGTTGTTGTCATTTTTGAGTAAATTAGATGAAATATTGTACTGAATGCTGAAAATTCCTTGCTGTATCATTAGTACTGTTTTTGGAATAAAGCAAATTATTATTATAGTTATGGTCAACCAGTGAACAGCGTATATCTGGGTGAGTGCTATGCCACCACGTGACTGAACG